CATCAGAATATCATCAGAATTTTCTAAGGATGTGAGATGGTCGCACGGCGTCAACCACCCCTGCTGCCGAGGCTCGGAGTGCTTAGAGAGCAGCAAGCAAAAGGCAGCGAGTTCGTAAGCTTTCCGCACAGATCCTCCACATGTCCCGTACTGGTCCGTTCGGCTACGGCAATGGAGGTTGGTGGCTTGAAGTTTCTACGTGGGGACTGCTGGCAGAGCACCATGCTTGGTCCTCTCCCAGCGAATTTGTGCGCAATCTGCCCAAACGCCAGAATGCGACAGTCACCTGCTCCCAGGGATGCTTGTCAGCTGTGTCCTATGCCCCTGAAGGGCCTTGGCTCCCAGGCGCCTTGCACAGGGTAACGGCGGTTACGCCTTTTCATCGGTGCCAGAGAGGAGTCCACGAAGGAAGAAGAAGAAGGACACCTGTGCCCAAGCACAGCAGATGGCGTACAGGCGTACAGCACATTCCGGACGGAAACGAGACAAGCGCAGATCATCTAACTGGCAGAAGCCTCCGTGGCACTGATGCCATACCTTGCACTTCTGAGGGTTTCAGGGTTGGTATAGGGTCATGGAGTCATGGCACTGATTGTATCGCCACAGTGCTTTCTGACTCGTGCTTTCAAGATGCTTGTATACAAAACGCGAAGCAACCCACGCCCCAACGATGGCCGCAATGTAATTCGCCGGGACACGCTCCAGAATTCCCTGTGGGGATTTTTACTATCATATTACTAGTATTATTACCTGGGTATTCGTTGCAATTATTAGTTTTACGACAGAACGGAAAGGTTTCGGTTGCTCGGAGTGGACTGTCGCGATGTTTCGGATCCCGGGTGATAGCGCCTCGATGCCAAGCTTCCTCAGCTTCTCAGAAAAGGACAGAAATGTAGACGTACCCACCGCGAACTAATTGGAGTCTCTGAGGCTGCAGGCCTCTCAGAGGCTGCCATCAAATCTGACGTTTTAGAGTTTGCTGGCCCAACTGTGTGGGCAAGCGGAACACTACAGAGACTGAATCGTGGCGGATGAGACTGACAAAGCGCGACGAGGAGAGGTCGAAATTTCCTAGGCCCTAGGCCCTAAACACTGGTTTCAAGGCCGCCCGCCAAAGCCGTCTGGATTTCGAGTTTAAGTTGTCTCGAACTACCCGTAGTGAGGCCGCATCGCTGCGCACACACGCACACACACGCAGAAATCGAAGAGCAGATCAAATGGCAAAGTACAACAAGAACTAAAAAGCACGTTCAACATGACTCTCTTCCAGCTGGGACTCTGCAGCATCAAGGGCGGGATGGCTATAGTCAGCACACGTCGAACGAGCTGCTCCCTCTCTGCTATGGACATGTCCTGCTAGGTCAGAGATCCGCGATGTAAATTGCCTACCGTTTTGCACATGCCCAAGCGCGTGTCTTCGAAGTCCTCGAACTTTTCCATGATCGTGTCCTGCAACTTTGACTCCACGATAAACGGTATCGAGCCACATGCAGCTTAGATCACACCACAGGCTGGCAGTACAGCTCCGTGTCCTGCATCTTCGTGATCTTGCCTGTTGTACCGCGGGCGCACAAGGGGGGCAGCAAAAACAGAAAGCGAGGCAAGAGAGGCAAGGAAGGAAGGCATGAGGGCAAAAAGACACAGCAACGAGGTTGCACCAAGAACAGGGAACAAACTCAAAACCTCAACCAACCAAACCCAAACCCCCCAAGCCAAAAAACCTCGCACATACGGGAGGGGAGCAAATCATTGGATATCACCGAGTGCAGCTGTAGGGCTGGAGATGAGTTTGGTGGCATCCACCTTCAGGGCCGAGAACATCCCAAACTCTGGCCTTACACTACATCCTCAATCTTAAACCCTACACGAGGGGCGCAGGTCCGAACTCTAGTCCCCTTTGAGGGTCCTTATCAGGGCTAAATCATACCACTTGCAGCTGAAAGCGCCCCCCCTTCAGTGCTTCCTAAGATGCTTCGTCCCCTCGCCTTCTTGATGCCGCTGATGCTACACTGCCAGATAGCCTTGAACTCCTGCTTGGCATTCTCGATGATGATCTCCTTGATCTGCTGCACCTTAATTTCATTGCACAGTAGCTCAGGAGCCCAACTTGAGGAACGGGAATGCCACTTTGGCACGTAGTCTTGGTAAAATTGCGGCGCCTGTCCTGAGTTGCTGACGCTTTTCTTGTGCATTCCAACAGCTCTGTTCGATGTGAGACACATAGCCTAGATTCCTAGATTGAGACGCACTGAGCCTGACACGTTCGGTATCAGTTGAACACTGACCGTGCACCCTGCCGGGCTTAACTAATTCACGCAAGTCCTACCCTTGTAAGCATCCCAGTTCTGGCAGATCTCCCCTGATACACTTCTCTGCAGCCCCACAGAAACCTTTAAGAACTTTATGACGTCCCAGTCTTTCCATCCTGGTCAAGCATTGATCTCAAAGTGCTTTTGGCTCTCAGTTTATGATCGGCCAAGCATCCTTTGCGAGGGTCATAGCACATCAGCGCTGAATGATCCTCTGCTGGCAGCGCAAGCGCTGCAAATACCTCCAGCGACGAGGAGTTGACGCCGCCCTCGCAGGGTGCACCAAGCTGACTCTGGTGGATTCTGGGGCCTAGTATGGTTATGGCTTAGTGATGCTTAGTGTTCTTTGACGACAAACAGATTGCTCTTCCGACCTTGTTTGTAGAAGCATCCTTGAAGACATGGACGCCAGCATTCTCCAAAGTTACTCGTGCCCCATCAGACAAGAAGAGATTCGCGCCTTCGACCTGACAGTACTCGCATTGAGGGAGACCTAGCGGGCAAGCTTCCTCTTGACTTGCTGAGTCACGATAAGTCGAAACTTTGGCTTCAAGCCATCTGCTGTGAACATGCGCTTGACATTGTCACTGGTGATAGAGTTGGGACGGCCACCGCAAGGAACGAAAAGGTCTGCTGTTGCGTAGGTTGTGAGGTGGAAATAGTCTCGCAACCTCGGACGGTTTCTGACTGAGACTGTGCTAAGACTGTGTTAATAGGTCTTGCCCAACTCACATCAGCGGAGTGGCTCTGCCCCAGTCAAGTACTTCGATCCATCAGGCAGAACAACATCACTGTCATCCACGACAACGAGGAAGCCGCCAGTCCTTGGCGGCGAGCGCACCCACTGCACCTGCGGACCCTGCGAAGCCTGATGAAGCCTGGGCAGAGTGCTGCCAAGCCGCTTCAGCAAGGAACGATCGAAATGCTTCACAGGCAGACGCTGCTTCGCCAGGCGCCGCAGCTCCATGCGGTTGAGACCAGCGGGATCGTAGAGAACACCGGAACCATCTACGATCGCCTAGCGCCGCAACTGCATACCATGCTCTCATGTGATTTTCGGATTTTCCATCATTCAGTGACAAGTCACAACGGTGTTGTCCTTGGAAATCAGAATTTCATTGGAGCCTAAATCGCCGTCAGGGCCACCTGTTTGGAACTTGGTGATTTGGCTCTCGTCCTGCAGAAAACAAGCGGATTGGGACGGGGATGAAACAGCGCGCTTCTTCGTGGAACGAGTCCTCGCCGAGCTGATGCCTCAGAGCTGAACTGCGTTGGTTTTCGGGGGGTTGAAGCTTGACGGCACTGTATAGGGATCGCGGCAGCGAGGTTTCAGCAACAGCACAGCTTGGCAGGAATTTACGACTGAAGCTCTGCAAGTTGATGCGAGGAGCAGAAGCTCTGTCACGTAAGTGTGGACACTCGTGGTGGTCATGGCGTAGGTATCGTGCGGCACTCCACCTCCACATGCTTCACAACGACCTATCGGACCTATCATCAAGACACCCGGTGGAATCATATGTTCAGCCTAGAGGTAGGCAGGACCATGTCACTGTGCTGATGTTTGGAGCACGAATGCTCACATAACAGAGGGAGGCATCAACTTCACCGGACAGCGCCTAAAGAAACGCTCTTGCCGGTGGTGAGTGACTTCCAATATGGATAGCCCCGCTCACGAGCAATGTCTGCACCCAGGTCCATGAACCTTCGGGGGTCATGTGCTCTGACAACCACAAACGATGCCTAATGCCAGTTCCATGTCTGCGAAACACAACCATGCATTTCATGCCAATGGTCGTTTCCAAGCAACCCTGCCGTATTCTCATCGGGCCCGAAGAAGAGAATTTCCTTCTTAGCTTGCATGTGCCCACTGTACAAGTTGTTTTGCTCTGGTTGCATGCAATCCAGCAATGCGTTGACGTAGTTGATGAAGCAGGAGCCTTAAAGTTGATCGCTTCAAGGCCGGGGCTTCACACCGAGAGCCGACGAAAAAGGACGGACGGCCAAAGTTGCTTGGCTTTTCAAGTCAGGCCGCGCGTTGCAGCTGGGCTTTGCGATGAGTTTCCCATGAGGCAGTTGCCGTCCACATCTTTCGCCCCAGACCAGTTTGAATCTGGCAGAATGACGCCCTTCGCTCCACCTGCTCGTCTCAACCCGAGCTGCCCGAGCTCACAGCAAGCTTTTCCCTACATGCATCAATCATGCTTCTTCTGAGAACGACTTGCAAGCGTGGTATCCACCAGACCTTCCGGGATGTCTTTGTTTTTGTTCTGCTGAGTGTAGGCGAGGTTGTAGCATTCGTCAAACAATGTGGCAAAGTTGCGCTCATAAGCTGCCCCATCGCGGGATAAGACCAAGCGGATACCACCCCTAGCAACATCCCGAAATCGTGTATGAAAGCCCATGAAGTCTCGGCCGCACACCATATAAATCCTCGGTCAAGACTTGGCGCAGAGAAACGCGGCTCCCAGCAAAGCTCAAGCTTGCGATCGGTCCAAGGGTCCCATAAGGAATCTCAGGGTAGAGGGAAGCCGGGCGGTCCTTGAGGACTATGGCCGGGTCCTGGCGACAGAGGCGAACTTGACTCACCACAAAGCCAAATCGCAGACCCTGCGGCAGCCAGTGTAGCAACGGTCCAGACGAAATGCAAAGGCTCCAGGAATCTCTGGCTTGAAGAAGTTGGTGAGTCGGACGCTCTGGTTGAAAGTCAGGAACATCCTGCAAGTCACATTCTTTGCTGTCAAGAACCCTCAAGCTCTGGCCCGGCGATGCTTCAAACACCGTCCGTAAGATCTGTCGATCTTGTGGATCGCTGCAGGCTGCATCGATAGAGGCGCCCAGCACAGAATTGAAGCTCGGAGCGGACTCACCTTGCTGTGTTCGCACAACCGTCCTACGAGACTCTTGAGGTCTTGCCTAATCGTATCCCCAAGCGCCCGGGCTCGCATTGGGCATGATCGGCTGGGCCTCCCCGCCCGTCGCAATCTTTCGGAAGTCAGTATAGAACTGCTCAGCCAAGGCTGGTTGTCGGCTGATCCTTGGACCAAAGCTCCGATCTCCAGGCTTACTCATCTGACAGCGGGGCTGTATTACTACACACGTGTGTGCACGTGCCTACAAAATATATATATATATATATATATATACACATACACACATATATATATATACATATATATATATATATATACGTATACGTAGCCACAGGCGCAGACACAGAATGTGTACAGAAGATAAAACCATAGATGGATGGATGGAGGGATGGATGGAGGGATGGATGGAGGGATGGATGGAGGGATGGATGGAGGGATGGATGGAGGGATGGATGGATGGTGAGGGTCATGTCGTACAAGACCAGCTCTACATATGTATGTGCATTTATATGTAGACATAGCATATGTGTGTGTAGGTATATACGCATGTGTATATATATATATATATATGTATGCACGTACATCATGTGTGTGTGTGTATCCATTAGGTAGTACTAGACGCATTCATACATCAGGCACATACTCGTGTAGTCAAAGCCAGCTTTCCGGGTCTGAGGTCAAGCTGAGACTCAGCTGGTAGATTCTCTCGGTGGAAAGCAAATCCTTCATGCAAAGGCGGTACAGCGTCTCCAGCTTTCTCTGTGCCGCAGGGTTTTGCTCCAAGACTTTGTGGACACCAGTGTACTCCCGAGAATACTGCTCTTTCGGGAAGAAAGCATAGACGAACTTCACAGCTGCCAAGAGGTAGAGACCGCACTCGTGAGAAATCCTCACAACATGCTGGATATGGTCATATTCAGCAGATTGTCCCCAAACTGTGTGGTATCCGCTATGGGGTTCTCACGTTGAGGATGTGGAGGATTGGTTAGTATTCCCGCGGGGCGCCGCGGAGAGAGTTCCCCAGGACAAGGCTCCATGCTGTGGCACGGTGCATTGCTTTTTCCGCACACGTCCTGATGGATGCATAAGATCCGTACAGCCGCAGATTGTTGTAAGCTCAGGCCACTAGCCGCCTTTTGGCCTCGAAATGCTTGGATCCCGCCAGTATTTGGGTGAAGCATTGTGCTGCTTGGGGATGTACACCGGCATAGTGTGTTGTATTATTTGTAGTGTGCTACATTACGTCATGTTTCGCTGCATCCTATGACACTGTATCTTATTCCACATTAAGCTATATTTTCATACTACTATGGTGGGGTACGATATCATATCATGCTGTACGATATTTCTGCTATGCTGTCGTATACTTTTCATATCATATAACTGGTATGATAACGGCACTGCTTGAGGCACACCGATGATTGCACTCACAGAACTGTGGGTCTCCTTGACTGCATGACCTTGTTGTAAAGCAAGGCGGATCGGCCAGGCGTGGCCTTCAGCAGCGTGGCGTGCATAATCGTTCTCTTCAGCTTCTGGACTTGGTCATCACTGGCAGTTGGGAAGAAGAGGCTGTAAGTGATAACACCATTCGCGAAGCTCTCCAGGTAGAAGCGACGGGGAATTAGTCCCACGAAGCGCATCGCCTGCCAGATCTCTTTGAGGAAGTGCCGACCCACGGTCTCTGCCGTCGAAAAAAGCACCACGAAGCCGTAAGGACATGGTCCAGGGTACATGTGCCCAGGGACAACCCTCACGACACTTCGGCGCGTCGCAACGACATCTTCCATGACCTGGGCAGCCCCCGGAGTTCTGTCTCTAAGTCTAGACTGGACGGCGCAGCTCGTTTACTCACCCCAAAAACCCAAAAGCACATGAAAATCAGGGACAATGAAGGTGCTGCGAGACGAGGTATCCTAGTAAAGCACCACCCATCAAATATACCCTAGCTTCAGCTGCATGCCGTTCCCCATATCAACCACTCTGCTAAAAACGAGCGAAAACAATGGATGCACACGTGTTGCAAATGCACGTGATGGGCACATTGATGCGGGCTGCTCTTCTGAGGTCCCGACAATTTGGTACTGTTCCTTGGCCTCGCGGGTCTTGGTCATCAAAAACCGCGAGGATGCCAAGACCTCCAAGCAGGCTTCTCCCTCTGCCACCCGGGAGACCTCGAAGTGGCCCTTCTCTACGGAGTAGATGCCCAGGCGCTCCGGTCCCCCAACGAAGGCTGGACCTTCGGAAGACATGAATGTCAAGGCCACCTGAGCTGACAGCAGTCACTTTAGCTGCAAGAGTGCTGATCCATGGTTTTTCTTCTGTATATAGTGATATAGATTCTTCGCGCAAGCTTTGATTCCTTTCGTGCATGCCATCTGGGAACCTTGGACCGGCGGCTGTAGTAGTAGTAGTAGTAGTAGTAGTAGTAGTAGTAGTAGTAGTAGTAGTAGTAGTCTTCATAGTAGTAGCAAAGCTCAGGGCACAAATACAACGAGCCCTTGCCTAGATCTGGCTACGCGGACTGTACCGGAACCTGATTTTGGCACCTCGCCGGTGTCTGCTGCAGCATTGTGCAATATCGGGCTGGGGACCTGTACGCCTGCCGGTTGATGGCATGTTCTCTATGATGCCATGGCGAAACTTTTCAGGACATTTTAAAGTCTTCCGAAAAAAGTGAACATTCCCAAAGACACTGCTTTTTGGATCAATGCTCACAGGAGTTCAGAACTCCTTGCCAAGGCGCATTCTTTCCGTCCTCGAAGCAGTGTGTAAGGAAGGCCGACACAGCATCGATGGTGCGAAGCTGTGCTCCTCCGATGGGGAGTACTATACCGGAGTGTACAGGAACAGGAGGAAAGCCTAAAGACTGTGTCGACATGAAGGGCATCCTGTTGGCTCCCTAGCGCAACCAATGCTGCTCAGGAAGAAGCCACTGTGCTCTGACCTTCACAGCTGACATATTTGGAAAAAAAAGTCGGAGGGCATACTGCGGTTGCTCAGGAGCCAAAGACGACTTCTCAGCATCCGGCTTAAAGTCAAACTCCAGGCCGCCGATATCGTCAGTAGCACGGGCAACATGCTTTGCAGCAATGAGGCAGTGAACATGCTTGGCAATCTGCATGGGCGTGAAATGCTTGAAATAGATTTCGTGAAAGCGAAGCACCTGGAAGAAGTGCTTCACTTCGGCATGAACCGTCGTGTAGCTGAAGACACCTTCTTTGACAACTAACTCGAACACGGTCCCCATCAGCTCATCTGTATCATTGCTATCTCGATCCTTAGATCTGGCCACGATTCACACCAGAACAACCAATGAACGTTGCAGATCCAACAAGACTCAGGCTAACCATCGGCGAGCCTCTGTTGTCGTATTCAATGTTTCGACTGAATCCACGCGTCGTCGCTTTTGCAGAGACTGCTGCGGAACTGCTAGCTTCTGGCTCTGAAGGTAGCGTCGCACCTCTGTGTGGCTGTTCTCCACAGCATCGTGTATGGGCAGCAACCCGAATCTATCCTGCTGCAACGATGCACCACACTCTGCGATCAAAAACTTGACCACATCTAGCCTCATGCAGTTGCCAGGGCATTCCCCGAACGTGCTCGGAGGCTGTACACGACACAGACGCCCTACCACCCACCCCTCGCACCAACGCCTCATCCCAAAGGCCCAAACCGAGCAACTTGCCAGCAGCAGCCGCCAAGTGCAGCGGCGTTCGCATGTCGTAGGCCGTAGCAGCATTGACCTCGGCCCCAGCGTGGATGAGAACCCGAAGGCCAGCGATGTCGCCGCTGGCTGCACACTCGCAGAGAAGACCGGTCAGAGCAGCCTTCCCAGCTGAGGATATGCTTGAACAAGACAGACTACACTACAATGTACTATAACATACTGCAAAAGATGCTACAAAACACGCAAAAATATACTACAGCCCCGTCATATACCAGTATAGAAAAGCTGTCGACCACACATGATGATCGGCAAATCAAGAGGAGGCCTGCGGCAATGCCTTCAGAAAGTCAGGTTTCAGCTTTAGCTGCAGGGGATCACTGTCGACGACCACCATGGTGGAAAAGAATCTCTGAATGGCGAATTACAGTTTTGGGCCAAAGTGGCGCTGTGGCGCAACAAGACCTCATGCCTGAAGGCACCGACGCGCAATCCGCTAAATCAGCCCTGCCTGTGCCAAGTTAGAGGGCACGGCAGCCAACAGATCCTCCCGAGCATCAAAGAGAAGTTTGACTCTTTCAGGAATGCGCCCCAGGTAGCCAAGCAAAGCGCATGGACTGCTGCGCTCCCCAATCTTCCGGCTTTGCGGAGAATACAGCAGCTCGTCGTCATCAATGTGAATAAGCCTCGGATTACTCGGATTACTCCTGTATGCAGGCGTCAAAGCATCCAAAGCTCTGAGTCTGAGCTCAGGCCAATGCCAATCAATCCCCATCTGCTTGCAGGCATCCCTGGCTCTGGCCATTGCGGCAGTTTGCCTGGCCTGGCACACTCTCGGACGTGGAGTGTTACGGAGTCTTCAGGTCTCCGAGGAGAGGGGGCACTTGCCATGGAATGGGAACGCATGCGCCATGCTTTCATGAGCAGCCCTTCAGGTGCTTTCGTTCTTGTCGCGAGTGCGATGGCTCTTGCCGGCATCACTGGTATCACTACTGCTGTTCAAATCTACCTGCTGTTCCTGTGAAATGTGCTTCATGTTCTTCTGTCGTGGCCTGGTCTGACTGCCGTGGTGCCAGTATTGTTCCTCTCGTGATAGGAAGGACGGCTGGCAGTAGCAAATACAGATTTTGTTTGTGCCGCCTCTCGATTGTGCTGATTGCGGTGTTATGGCAACTACGCGTACTACTGCTGCTGCAGCGATTCTTTCCAGTTTGCATGTGTTATTGGGGCTACTTGCGCACAAGCAAGAAATGTACGGGTTTGCGAAGCAGTGCGACTGCACCAGTATCTGCACAAGTGCTTAGAAACTGTGGCACCTGCAAAGTGGTGTAGTCGTCCACAGGGCGTGAGTCCGTCGAGGACAAACCAACTGCAAAGTGAAGAAGTTGCCATCAGAAGCTTTCACAGAAGAGACGTCGGGAACCCCAGATTCCCCTTCTGCTTTGCAGTTCTGATGGTGTTTGAAGCCGTCGAGATCCAGGCGTAGGCTTGGACTTGGCGTTGCCCACAGCGTGACCTGACGTTGCAAGTTACCCTTAAGTTATTGAGTCAAGCCAAAGCGTATCACAAGATGTCATGAGAGACAACACCAATTACTCGGAATGAGATGTTGCGCCTTCGCCTGGTCCTGCGCTGATAGCTGCTGGACGCTTTCGGAGATCTGTGGCGAATCCTTCTGCCAAGCTCGTCTATGCGCAAGGATTCGATGCTTCCCATGCAAGCACACTGAAGAATGCAAGCAGTGCTGCATGCTCCTCAGCTCTTACGAAGATGTGTTCGACCTCGCTTGTCAGATTGACGTTGAGGCGATGCTGCAGCAGGTCACACTCCAAAATCAGCTGCAGCATTAAGCAGACCACCCCTTCATGATGAAGGTGGTACCTGTCCCGGAGCGGAGTCACATCGTGGCTAACTCTGCATGAAAGAACCGAGCAGCTTCGCCTGATCCAGGTGTTCAGGTCTGGGGGATGTCGGCTAAGCATGACCTGCTTGAACTCAGGCTCGAAGTCAGGAGCAGTACACTTCGAGCCCACGTCAACCCAAAGATGGACTCTGACTCTTAAAGACAGGTCAGGCCCGCAATGGCAACACGGGCAGGTTGAGGATTCTCGCTTGCCTGAGATCGAGAGCGATCTAGATCTGATGTTCTGGCGCATATCCAATGCAAGCACACCAAGTACGACTGTACTTTCTGCAGTCTCCCACAAATTCGGCATGTCTCTGAAATTCGCATGAGGGATGCGCACTAAGAGGTAATCTCCTTGTACTTGCCGCTCGAATGCTTATGAGCTTCAAACTGAGACCGAAGCAGGAGCAGCGCACCAGCATTCCTGCCGCCGACCGCTTGCCGACGGATGGCTTCGGATCGCTGAGCTACGAAAGACTCATGTCAGTATGACGCAGATACCCCCCCTGCTCTACCCCCCCCACCACTCCCATATGCCTTCATCCGATTGAAAGCTGGATCCTTTCGGGAAAGAATACGATGCCGAATGCCATGTCAGCTACAGCAGAGCACAGCTGCGTGGTGAGCGCCTCTCCGAAGCTCGAGATATTGCACGACCTGGTCGGGAGGAATATTGTATCAGTTCCCCAGCTAACAGCTAAAGATTGGAAGCATGCTTGGGAAATGGCACTGGGGCAGATCCTGCACCAAGCTGCAGGGCGACCTCGTCGAGGGCGATTGCACTGCTACACTCCACTGCATGGCTGGAGTGGCGCACCCAGCGGTCCCCCTCGCCAAAGCGAACATGGCCACTGCCGCAAGTGCACTCATCACCTGCACTCAGCAAGCCAGGTCGTACACGGACTTCCAAGGCAAGCCCTGCCTTCTGCGGCGCAACGTTGCCACAGGAGCCCGAGCTCCTCGATTTGTGGCACCTTCCGCAGATGACGTCAGCTGTCCGTCTCCAGACCGAAGCTCTTGTGAGCTCGCTCTTGTGAGGCTCCCGCCCCGGCCGGCACGGCCCCGGCTTGCTCTCGCGTCCTGCTGGGCAGATATGCAAGAAACCCAAGAAGCTACCAGTACACGCCAAAAAGAAGGCACTCGTTTCCTCAACTTGCTTGCCGTGGCACAGCAGAGCAACGCGGCCAGTACCTGCCGTCATTGCGTGCAAATCCCCGCCGTAGAGTCACTGTAACGCATGAAACCATGGAGAGGCACATTCCCGTGAGCCAGAAGCCGGACAAAGGACATCAAGCCCACCTCTGGAACTTGGGACAAGTCGGACAAATATCGTAGCAGATCAAAGGAGGCCGCGCCTCCGGCTGCAGCTACATTGAGGGGACTTGCCCTTTGAGCCGAGGGTTCGCCGAAGCTCACAGCTGGAAGCGGTCCCTGCTGTCCCAAAGGTTCTCGAAACACAGCAGCCGACAAATCGATCTTCGACCCCACAACTAGGAACCACAGTGCGTTGCCCTTGGTACGCACTTTTTGCACCGAGCTACATGCGTCACCGGCTGGGAAATGTGCTCGACGTTGCTCGTAGCCGCTGTGCGCAAGAGGCTGATCCCAACTCAGAATCAGCCGAAAGGATAGTGATGTCTGGGTCGATGTTTCCTGCTGATGCAGATTCTTCCGCTGGAGCCACGGCATGTTTGATCCCACTTCACATTAAGCCGCATTGAACCCAGTCTTGACGTCGTAGCTGCTGGCGAGACATGATCGGAAATTGATATGGCTTTAGCAGGCAGACTCCGCATTGGAACACCAGCTGCTTTAACAAGTGCTGCATCTCACGCTGCTCTCAAGCGCTACCATGCAACTTTAGTGGATGCAAACATCGAGATGCGAAACACCAAGACAAAAACACCCGGCAGTCCTGTCATATGCCAGCTGAAACTTGTCGAGCAGATCAGAGGTGTTGGCACAAACCTCATGTAGACAATCGACCAGAGTCTCGCGGTTGTGCACGACTGCAAACGGAAGCCATGCATGCCTTGGTGAGAGTCGCAAGGAGTACGACCAGCGTGGCATCGTTGTACTCGCCACAGAACTCCTGGTGAGCTGCACGAGTCTTTTTTCGAAACTGAGGTTAGCACGTGAAGTGGAGGTACCCGAGTCCAGCAGGTCTCTCTCGCGAGAGAGCCGAGAGAGTGTAGAGTGTAGAGCAGTGTAAGTTACATGAGACTCCGACCTCCTGCAAGGCTGACGGATGCACGGACTGGAGTGCCTGGTGCGCAAGTCAAGTCCAATTCGAAGACTTTTTGTGAGACAGTATCGGACTTATTCACGTGCTCACGTGCCTGGCAGATGGACAGCGTTTGTCTCAGGACTTCCGGATTCTTCGGTGCTCGTCCTTCCTTCAGTGACTGGGCTGTGTTAAACATTGACAGCAGGAGACTTGCCCGAGCTTTACGGTGGGGCAGTGGGGAAGGATGCTTCATTCCCTGCCATCAGTACATATTGATATCGCAGGGAGATCGTACAATGCCCTTGGAGTTGCCTTCACCTCCTTCATGTGCTCCAACAATTCCTTTATCCGGTTGCTGAGCATGACCTGGCCACAGCATGACGCGGCCCACGAAGCGCACGAGTCAACCACTGCAGAGCTCGTGTTCTGATCCTCTCGTTTTGCATATTGGGGTTCAACTTGGCCGGCATGGCCACGGAGTTCGACAAGCCAGACGTGTACTGAGTGAAGTCGGAGGAATAGCCTTGCAAGCGCTGAGTCTTTTGCCTTTTCGTTCGGAGGTTTCGTGGAACATGGCTCGCAAAGGAGTCCGGCAACATTCCATGTCTAGTCTCGCCTGATGTGGCCGTGGTCGCAGATTTGGCCACATGGTTGACCTGGGATTGAGCACTGAACCCCGAATGTGCACATCTTGACCTGACAGCAACCGCATCCGAATGCGCCGGAGTTGCTGCTATCCGCTCTGCTTCCAGAGTATCGATGATGTACGGCACCTGCATGAGACCAGCCCACGCATCCAGAGGTTCCAGATGCGTTCCAGGTTGCACATCAGGTAGAAGTCTGCACGGCCTCGTTCCAAGTGACCGTAGCCGCACCCTGCTCGATGTGGACCGTGGCATCATAGACCTGTGCATCTGGAGCTCTGAGCTGAGGTTCGCAACTTCTGCAGAGAGACCCAGGCCTTCACCGGCAGGTCCTCCCCCTGCGAAGCCTCCAAGGTCAGAGCTAAGCGAAAAGCTTCGTAACGGATGTATACCGAAGTATGCCATGAAGGATGCAGTGCCTTCTCTCGGGACATCTTGTCTGTGTCCATGAGGAGGGCAAAGGGATTCTCATTGGCACCGACCTTTCCCGGAATTCCGAATTTCCGGGCCTAGGCACATTACGCATCTCGTTTACCCGGCCTCCTGGATCTTTCTGTGCAAGGCCTTGTCAGCCTCTTCTGGGTGAGGGCCCGTTGAATACCATCCTCGGCATCGGTCTGATGTCTGCCTCCACGTCTGCTGTGCTTCGCAGAAGCACTAGGCCCGCTAGGCTCAGCTGGGTCGACCACCCAGAAATTCGTATCGTGGAAACACCTGAAAACACATGCGGCTGCGGCTGCAGAAAAGAGCGTGTTCGGCTCCCCTGAATCTGCCTCGAGGTATTGCGCCAGGCGCTGCTGGAAGAACTCCAGGTCGAGGGACCTGCAGCTGCAATCAACCCTAAACCCTTAGTTTCGTATTAGCATTGATACTAGTCTCACTACTTATATGTTAGTATAAAAGGAGTAGCATTAATTGATAATAAGTATCAATACTTATATATTAGTTCAGAAGTGAAGGCCAGGCCGGCCCTGGCCCCAGAAGCTTCGCTCCGGTGCTCTCTCGCGCCTCTCACCAGATTCCTCCTGCAACACAAGCTCGAAGGAGTTGTGCACGTCTATGCGCCTGAACAGTGCAAGCAGCGCAAGCACGATCGATAGACATGAGGGGTCGGGACCTGCCCTCCTGTGCACCAAGCAAAGCACCAAGTACTCGCTCCGACCTGGCTTCGACTCCTAGAAGTATGACGTTGCTTTCTGCTGGATGCGATAAGAAGTGCTTAGGATGCCGCCGACTAGCGCTGCGAAACCTCACCACATGATCCGAGATGTTGATGAGGACCTTAGCTCACCACCTGCCCGAAACACATCCTCAGTGCCTCGCTTCGAGGGCACGGACTAGGGGATGCAAGTGCACGTCCAGGCCAGTTGCCGCCATGGCCTTGTCCGATAGCTCCCGGCTCGAAGCTGAGGCTTCTTTGGGCAGTCGTCACTGGAAGCAGACTTGAGAGCATGGTCTGAAGACTTTGCGGCTATGAACTCTCGATGCAACTGCAGCCGGCATTCTGCTCTTCGGCTCTGCAAAAGTGGTGGAGCATGGAAGCTCTATCTAGATCTACGCTATTACTCGATCTGTTTGGGCCTGCATCTTGCAGCACTTCATCCTGCGCACCGTGCCATGACTCCGTGGAGCGCTTCCATCGCGGTTGCTTCGCTTTTCGGCCCCTAGAGCTCGGTGGACGCTTCACCGGTCCTTCTCCCAGAATCACCTAAGTACAAGTTCAGGACACCGGCAAGACAGAGAATCTGCAGGCTTCCTTGCCTCGTCTTGCAGAAGCATCGTCTTGATCGGTCCCAACAAGCTGCAAAGCAAATTCCGGGCCAGCGGATCCTGTCACCTGACGCATTCTGGCGAGCAGTGGGAACAGCATGAAGCATGCAAGGCTCATGCAAGACCCTGCTCGATTCGGCCTTGGCTGCTCCAAGCCGCACAGTGACCTTTAGCTGCAGCACAGCGCCTGCTTCGACGGGTAGGGGCTCCAGCAGGCCTGGCAACTTGCACTGCAGCTAATCTGCAGCAAGCAGCCACCTAAATAGCTGCTTGATAGAATCAAAGTCCGAGGCACCGAGGTTCGTGTCGGCCCTGGCCACCGCTTGGACCTGTGCTGGAGTTCGCTCGCTGCAAGAGACTCTCATTCTATGTCCGCAAGCCCCAAACACCTGCTTGGTCACAGCCGGGGATCTGGCGTACTGCGGCCAAGTCAGGTCCCTTCCCTCGTAAGTACCTTCACCATGGGCTCTCACTGTTGCCATCCCTGTAGCACGTTGATGGCTTCCGACCAGAAGTGGATCAGCAACGACACGCAAGGTCAAGCCAGCATGGGCACTCTCGGCTCCGAGTCGCCGTGCTGCAGGCCCCTTCTCAGCAAAAACCTCCGGACGGCGAGTCACTTCGAGCCATGGCAAGCGGCAAGGAGAGTCGACCGAGAGCCGCCGAGGTGCCACCCAGCGTCCCACAATAGCATGCACAAAACCAGCCGCTTCAATGGGGAGCGACCGCCGAAGTGTCTCCTGGAGACTGGAACTTCAGGTCTCAAGCAACACGCCTTGAGAGACACGACTGGAGCCACTGCTGGACCAAAGCAGTCTACATGATCGCAATGAGGCGAGGATTAGCACGATCTGCTCGATCGTGCAAGACACAGAAGCCAGCTGTAAAAGCAGAAGCTAGTAAAGGACACCGTCAAGGGAGGGGCCTCTGAAAGAGACGCCATTCCACAACACGACAAAGTAATCATCTATCTATGTCGGTCCGGCAGATGCTTGTCCCTGGAGAAAACGAGCGATTGAAATGGGCCATTGTTATGCTATGGGAGCCCCAGCCTCTCCCGAAATGGGAGCTCGCCCATACTCGTTCAAATCCTGGCCGCCGAATACTCACAGATGCAGTTGCAGGATAGACCATGCTAAGCCGCCAGCTACATGGTACAGACACTGCGGCTGCGACAGCCACCTGTGATACATTCTGGCTACTGCAGTGGAGGTGGTGCCGAAGCTCGAAGCAAGACAAGGGACTGCTCCTGCCTGCGCCGCAATGTGGAGTGACCACCAAGCCACTTCGTGTGGGGCACCTCTGCACCAGAGGCATCGAGAAGCCACGGCACACGTCATGCAACATCCTTCTTCGCGCCGTAATTAAAGTAACCCTCTGAGGCACTGACCATGCGGCCCAGAAGACCTTGCCGCCTCGCCTGCTGCAACAAGCAGAAGCCTCGACCAGTGCTCCACAGCAGCCCGCCTCTTCGTTCCACACTTGCAGGTCCACCTGCAAGCAAAGCAGCAATTCCAGCAGGCGAGGTTGCAGTGTGATGCGGCCGCGGCACCTCCTCCCAGGTTCCATTCGGAATGGAAAACATCTGCGAGAGCTCTAGGCCTCAGAAGGGAAGGAGGGAAGGGAAGAGGAGGCCAAGAGCCCCCCGCTGAGCCCCGGGGCGAGCCTCTGAGCTTCAGACTCTCGAGGAGCCCTACTTCGAAGCACGCAAGCGGAGGCACCACCAGGCCTTTGTCCTACGCAGAAGAGCGCCGAAAAACACGCAGCGCAACACTCTCAGAACTCCAAACTTGGTGGGGGTAGCGACAAGCCCGAGCCTGCAGCAGCTCCTTGCGAAGGGCGGGTAGGATTGCAAAAGGGCTCCGACCGTGCAGCGGCGTGCCTGCAAAGAGCAAAGTCGGAGAGACCCGGAGAGACCCGGAGAGGGGACATGCGACGGGCCTGGGGGATCCACCACCACAATGTCTGCCCGCCTACCCTCTGGCAGGAGCACATCAAACCTCCAGCAGGGGAACACTCCTCCGACTCACCCGGCACTTCTCATTAGTTGTATTATTATTATTACTACTATTATTATTATTACTACTATTATTATTATTATTACTATTATTATTATTGTTATTGTTATTGTTATTGTTATTATTATTATTGTTATTATTATTATTATTATTTTTTATTATTATTATTTTTATTATTATTAGTAGTAGTAGTATTGCCCTTCTTGAGTTGTTTCAGCCGCCGGCATCTCTCGCGGATCCCCGGCGAAGACCTGGGAGTTCATGCAGCCCAGGCCTGGGGACCCGTCGGCTGAGTACTTCAAGGCATCTCTAATAGTATATTACATAACTGTAATTTTTTTTTTGAAAAAAAACATAACTGTAATATCAAACTATACTAAGTAACTATAATATCAAGTCATAACTATACTAAGTAACTATAATATCAAGCTATATTAAGAAAGTTAGGATATCAAACTAGATAAAGTAAGTTATTACTGCCCATGTTTGTTGCATCTCAATCTCGGCTCTCGGCTTCGGCTCCCTCCACTCCGTTCTCCTGCGAGCGCGGCGGAGAGACTGCAAGCCAAGTCTGGAACACTGCAGCGAAGCTCTGTCGGAAAAGTAACCGAGACAAGAAGAGGTCACAAAAGCTGCAAGGGAGCTTTTGGCTTTAGTTCGCTTCGGAAAGTAACTGAGACAAGAAGAGATCACAAAAGCAGCTGAAAGGGAGCCTTAGGCTTTGGTTAGCTTTGGGTTCCACTTGCCTTCTCTTCTCTACCGAGGCCGGGCCAGCTTCTGAATCGTGCTGAGCCAATTCACAGGCTGACATGACAGAAACGCCCCTTTAAAGGATATGATTTCTGGCAAACCCTATGGTACCAGATTTTGGAGAAGCACTCATCTGCACATGGAAGGTGACCAACGAGCTTCAGATGCCATAGATGCCGCTCTAGATTCCCCAGTGCTCCTCGGCGATTTGTCGCAATATGGAAGCGACATGCTCCGAGCCTCAGCCCACCCCAAAACAATGCGATCGCTCTTCCGCGGGTAAGATATTGAGGCCCGGACCGGGCATCACCAAAGAACGCAGTAAGCCGTGTTTGGCTGCATAGAACCCAGGCCTCAAGCCCCCACAAAGGAAGAGACCGCAACCAAGACTGTGCGGAAGCACGGTTCCCTGACGCTCTCGGGGCCCACGCAACCCTGCGTTCCCGCTGCAGTCCAGCAATGTATGAGGCCGGCCTTCCAGCTCTCGGACCTCACACAGGTGGACCCCTTAATGGACACGATCAGGATTCACTGCCGAAGTTTTGCTCATGCGGCAAGGCTTCTCAGAACGAAGCTGCACTCTGCAAAGCCTCAGCCTTCCATGGAGTGCATCAGTGTCGCACAGCGGTGCTCAATCGGAGAAATTCAGGCGCGGACGTAGAAGTCATGTCGCTCCTGATCCCCGGCAACCGGAAGCAAGAACCTTCAGCCAATCTCGCCACCGCTCGGGCCGGAAGTTGTGAAGCAGTCTGTGAGTGGTTTGAGAAGGCCCCACATGGTTCTGCCATGGCTCCGCCACTGTTAGAGGTCTGAGGCACCAACTCGTTGGCCTCTTTGATGCTTTGCCGTGGAATTCCATGTAGCCTCACAGCTAAGTCAGGCTAAGTCAGCAAAGCAGTGCCCAATCTGCTGCGATCCGTGAACGTTTTTTGCCTGGACGGTGAGCTGATGGGCGGTAGCATGCTGTCCTCCTCGGGGCCTCACTGCTAGCTGCCAAAGCTGCAAAGAACCGTCACCCTTTGCCTTTTGCCTTACTGGCTTAGTGGAGGTCTGCAGCACCTCGAAAGGGATCCACAGAGCGGGCCCGGAGGTGCATGCTGATGCCGGTCCTCAGTCCAAAAGCAGGCAGGCTGGACTCCGACTCTCAAAAGGGGACCTCTGTGCCACCGCGACTTGGTACCTCACGCGATGAACTCCACGGCAACCTGAACCCAGTCTCCGGCCTCACAGCGCTCGCGATCGCTGCCGAGGGAACTTTTTTGAGCCGTTGCTGCCCGAATGCGCTGAAGGCCTTGACTTTCAGTCTCCTCGGATGATCTCCAAAGCGCCAGCCCTCGGCAGCTTCCTCCTTCCAGACAACGTGCCATGCCACATCAAGCTACAACGGACCACATTGTCGAGACGCTCAGCACACTCCACACCTAAGAGAGCCATACAAGTAGTAAGTAGTAGCTACATTACAGTAGAAAGGCGCGCTCCCTCGGGCTGAGATATAGATGGCGCGAAGGCTCGGATAGTCTCCTGCGGCTGGAGCAACCATCCCCACGCGACCTGTCACGGGAAAATATGATGTGCTTCGGTGCTTCGCAAGCATGCCGATGCATCGGAGGCGCGAAAGCTCACACAGAGAAGCTTCTCTCGTGCCGAGCGGCATCACCTGCAAAGTTGCGAGAGCCTTGAGCAGTACTCAACACCTGGCAAGAGCAACGTGAGCTGTCTTGCAAATTTGATGTTCTCAGCTTTCGCCTGCTTTTTGCTCCGGTCTGCCCAAATATCCCAATCAAACAGGGCCTTGCGAGAATGCACGTCTGCAGGGCATCTGCCATAGGATGAAATATG